GTGGGCTCAAGAGCGCAGACTCAGTAGCTGTGGCGCACGGGCTTAGTTGCTCCGTGGCATGTGGCATCTTCCAGGACCAGGGATCGAAACCGTGTCCTCTGCATTGGCAGGTGATTTCTTAACCACTGTGCCACCAGGGAAGTCCTGGTCATTCATTGTGAATGATTAAAGTTCTTAAAATAAAAAACTGGGCTTAACTAAATGCCAGCTTCTAAAAATGTCAAAATCATTGTGTTTTAGTCAGTTTTTGTATGGCATCTTAATTGGCATCTTCTATCTTAATTGACCGTAGAGTTATTTTCTCCGATTTCCAAGTCCTTCATTGATATTAGAAGAAAAGGACAATAGCAAGTGTTTTTAGTCAGTGTTAACAGACTGTAATAGAAACAGTATGGCAATCCTGACTTCACCAGCCCTTCCTTGAAATCATCATTAAAAATTGACATCATCTAGATAGTAAAAAAAAGATGACACTGGCACTTCAGAATTTAAAACCAATTGCGTTTGGAGAACTTTTCATTGAAAGTAGTTCAGAGGACTTCCCTGGTGGTGTAGTGGTTAAGAATCCGCCTGCCAGTGCAGGGGACACAGGTTTGAGCCCTGGTCCGGGAAGATCCCATATGCCGCAGAGCAGCTAAGCCCGTGCGCCAGAACTACTGAGCCTGCACTCTAGAGCCCGCGAGCCACAACTGCTGAGCCCGTATGCCACAACTACTGAAAGCTACGCACCTAGAGCCTGTGCTCTGCAACAAGAGAAGCCACCGCAATGAGAAGCCCGCGTGCAACAACGAAGACCCAACACAGCCAAAGATAAATAAATAAATTAATTAAATTTAAAAATAATAAAAGTAGTTCAAGGAGCAGGAAGTGCTCTGTGAAGAGTGTTTTTATGGTCAGCATTTAGTATGTGGTAATGGGGAGGTGGAGACAAGCCTGAGGGTGTCAGAATCTTAGTGAAAGGAGAATGTCTTCACCAGGCATCCTTTCTTTTTTTTTTTTTTTTTTTTGCGCTATGCGGACCTCTCACTGTTGTGGCCTCTCCCGTTGCGGAGCACAGAGGCCGGACGCGCAGGCTCAGCGGCCATGGCTCACGGGCCCAGCCGCTCCGCGGCACGTGGGATCTTCCCGGACCGGGGCACGAATCCGTGTCCCCTGAATCGGCAGGCGGACCCTCAACCACCGCGCCACCAGGGAAGCCCCTACCAGGCATCTTGACTTTGGTTAAAGGGTCCAAGGCAATAGAATATTTGAGAGAAAAAGCCATTAGGATGTTAATGATTCGAAATGAAACTTTAAAACAAGTTTGAAAATAAATAGCCAAGCCTACCGTGAAAATAAGTTTTTAACAAGCAAAAGGCAAATGTGCAGGACTTTTTTCTTCTTTTTAAAGAAAATTTTGTGTTTAATCATCTGTGAACATTTTGGAGAATTTGAGTGTTGCATTTTGCTCAGGGAAAAAAATAAATTGGATGTGATGGCTGATTTCACTCCCTTTTAAGTAGCTCCACTGTGCTTTAGGGTCACTTCTCCAAGGATAAGGACAGATAGGAATCAGCTAATTGTTCAGTGAGGTTGGGGAGCATAATGCTGGCCCTCAGTCATGCAAAATCGAATGTTTCTCTTGCTGATCACAGCTCTTTCTGCTGGTTATAAGTTACCGCATCTAACGTGCGCACACGTGGGTGCTGGAGGCTCAGTCCTTGAATCAGATGTGCAGACGCAGAGGCCAGGGCTGTGGCTTTGGTGTAGAGAATACACTTTGTTCCTCAGCTCGAGCTGGGACTTGTAGGCTTCCTAGTGGAGACACTGCTGCCAAAGACTGGAAAAGCTCCTTAAGGTGGACTCAAGGCCCTCTCCATGTCCTGGCCTTTGCCTGTCTTTCCCGCCTCTTCTGCACCACGTTCTCCCCGAAGCATTCACATCACAACCCCTTGGTTCCCAGAAGGAGCTCTCCCTCCAGCTTCCCTCCTTTTGCCCGTGCTCCTGCCTCCCCACCTGCAGTGCTGTCCTCTTTCCTCTCTGCCTGATTCAACGTGTCCTCCTGAGGACCGTCCCTGCCCTCCGGCCTAAATCAGTTGTCCCTGTCTGTGCTTTCACATCTCATCTACCCCCACAAGTTGGTCATGCTCAGTCTTAACCATTGCGCCCATCTCTGCCCTCTCCAGGGTGTGAGTTCCTCAGCAGACAGCGAGGTGTGTTCCGGTTTGTGTGGGCATGACCCAGCGCCCTCTGCGTCCTCGGTAGGTGCTGACTTGTTGGGTGCAGAGCATATGGTTTCGTTCTGTGGGGAGCACACAGGAATGCTTCCTGGTCTTGGACTGGCGTCCTGTACTGAACGTGCCCTGGATGCTCCTTCCATTGTAGCACCACCAGCAGCCGAACATTGGCCCTGACTCTGCTTGGGTAACGCCTGATACGAAGGACTCGGGACACAGGGGCAGCATCACCGCCACTTTGGGGAGTGATTCTCAGGCCCGTTGGCGTCCTCGTGTCTTAATGAGCCAGTTACCCGCTTCCTGCTGTGCAGGTCCCGCGTTCCCAGGTCAGCCTACTCGGAGCTGGCCTTGTGACAGTCTCCCCTTTGCCAGCCACCCCGCCATCTGGCCTTGTGGGCAGAGTGCTCTGGAGGAGGACGGTGTTTTCTTCCCCGGTCTGTGTGTGCAGTACGGCGTCCAGATCTTGCTGGCTGCGGCCCCCGGGGCAGCGGCACCGACACCCCCTCTTCCTGACGGCCTTCCCAGCGCACCTCCATCTCAGGCAGTTTCCAGGGCAGGTGGCACCTCCTTCTCCCCATGAACAGCACCTCTGCAGCCGTGTCTCAGCAGGTGGTTCACTAGCTTGGCCTGAAACGTTTCTACCATCCAGTGGGTTGAGCCAACAGTGTCTGATTCCCAGCCTTAGGGAGGCGAACCCTTTCCATGTTTGTTCCTTTCTTGAGTACCCTCGCTCAGCACTAATATCCGTTAGAGTTCTCTTTTTTCCCCCTTAGTTATTTCTCCATACCTCCAATCCCCTGTTAATAATTCTTTTTTAAACTTTCTCTGTTCAAACCACTGGGTGGTTTCTGTCTCCTGATTGGACCCTAACCATGCAGATGCCCCCTGCCTAGAATGCCAGGCTCCACCCCTGCCCCAGCACCAACCCGTACAGTCTCCAAGGGCCAGCCTAAATGATACCTCACTCGTTTATGTGACTGACATCTTCTGAGTTCCAGCTAGTAAATAGGCCCTGGGCCCAATCCTGGGGTTAAGTAAGACAGGGCTTCAGCCCGACAGGAGCTGTAAGACTGGAAGAAGAGAAAACTAAGTAGTGAACTGTGTTGAGTTAGAGAGGGTGTGTGTGTGTGTGTGTGTATGGGGGGAGTAGTGTAGGACAAAAACTTAGAACAGAAACTTGAGAATTTTAGTGTCCTCCCTAAAGGGATAAGTAAGTGAAAATTCATGAAATTGATAACCATTTACCACTTTATGTCCGTAATAGAAAAAGTAACAAAATGTAGTTTTGTTTTCCATTTCATTTGTGAATATTCTTTCTCCTTCCACAAAGCCCTTGAGCTGGGTGTTTTTTTGGTTTTGTTTTGTTTTTTAATTTATTTATTTAATTTATTTTATTTTTGGCTGCGTTGGGGCTTCATTGCTGTGCGCGGGCTTTCTCTAGTTGCGGTGATCGGGGGCTACTCTTCGTTGCGGTGCGCAGGCTTCTCATTGCAGTGGCTTCTCTTGTTGCGGAGCACAGGCTCTAGGCACGCAGGCTCAGTAGTTGTGGCTCGCGGGGTCTAGAGCGCAGGCTCAGTAGTTGTGGCTCGCGGGCTTAGCTGCTCCGCTGCACGCGGGATCTTCCCGGACCAGGGCTCAAACCCTTGTCCCTTGCACTGGCAGGTGGATTCTTAACCACTGTGCCACCAGGGAAGCCCGAGCTGAGTAGGGTTTTAACTCATCTCATCTCTGATTTCCTAAGGGCAGAAACTGTCACATAGTGGGTGTATAATAAATGTTAGTGGACTGAATAAAGGCTAATCATATCGAGTTGATATTCTCTCTGTTTTGTAACTACTCAAGGAAGCCAAAGTCAGCCAAGTTTTTTTAGGTTGACGGTTCATAAACAATTACATGCAGTTGTTTTTATACTTGAAATGTGAACAGAAACGTTATTAATCAACTTAATGCTGATACTTATTCGTTCCTCTCTAGCCGTTTACAGATAACATCTGCCATGTCACATGTGTATCACACAGTATGTTAGGTATCTTATAGACCTCTAATTCTCAGCTATCCCGGTTGTGCAGGCATAGATATTGAGGTTAGCTAACAACCTACTGTGTTGCTGATCAGATGTGGCTGAGCCCTGCTTTGAGTCCAGGTTGGTACCAAAGCCCTTGTGTTTCCCAGTCCACTGCTCAGGCATCACCATGAGGGGCCCCTTGGTCAATCAGGTGCCTGCCCTATTTGAGTGTACACACATACACATCACCCTGCAGCCTTTTTTCCTCTTCAGAGCCACCACCGCCTCCTTCCTTGTCCTAGAGGCACAGCCCTTTGTACCCGCCAGGCACTGTGACATCCAGGTACGAGTGGACACGGTTTGGAAAACTCAGAAAGGTCCAAAAGTCTCTTCCCTCTGCTTCTTTAAGGATTCAAAAAGTCTCTCATCAAAGTCTAGCCACTTGCTGGAAAACTGATATTGGTACATGTTATGGGAAAAGTTCAATTAATATTAAAGCTCAGGGGGCTTCCCTGGTGGCGCAGTGGTTGAGAGTCCGCCTGCCGATGCAGGGGACATGGGTTCGTGCCCCGGTCCGGGAAGAGCCCACATGCCGCGGAGCGGCTGGGCCCGTGAGCCATGGCCGCTGAGCCCGCGCGTCCGGAGCCTGTGCTCCGCGACGGGAGAGGCCACGACAGTGAGAGGCCCGCGTACCGCAAAAAAAAAAAAAAAAAAAATTAAAGCTCAGGGGAGTGTGTGTGCACCTTTAAACACTAACCCGAGTCTTTTCTTCTTCCCAGGTGCTCTTACCCCCGTACGATGATGCCACTGTGAATGGCGCCACCAAGGAGCCGCCACCACCTTACGTGTCTGCCTAAGCCTGGAAGTGGGGCGTAGCCGAGAGTGACAGCTTGACTTCCATACATCAGAGCAATAGTTCTTCAATTTTACTTCTGGGACGAGCTCTCTGAGCTTATTTGTTGCTGAAATGCTACAATTTAAAATTTTAGATGTTGAGTTGAGACTCTCTGTAGTTTGAAACATATGCTTAGCTAGAGCACTGTGATAGAGGAACTGTAGAATTCTTCCTGTGCGAGTGTGGTGGGCTCCCCTAGTCCTTCCTCGGCATTGAAACTAGCCAGCAATCCGGATGAACCTTCTGTCTGTCGTACGTGCTGAGCCCCAGAGTTGAAAAATTTGTGACTCTGTTCTCTCCGTTCCCTCCTTTCTCTTTTGAAAGCGTAAAATAAAATCAGAATTATACAATGCTTCTCTTAGGCCATTCCAGTGTATAGAACAAACCCTTAGGAGAAGACGAATCGTGTAAGGAGTCCACATAGACACATAAATAAAACAAGAATTTCCTTAGATCCTTTATGATTTAAATTCAGTGACAGTTTGAGTTCGCTGGTCAAGGATTTTGTCCACGGGCTAAATTGAGACCCTTTGTCAATTCCCGGCTGCGAGGACAGTCAGTCACCACCCTGGTGGCTGCTCTTGTGCACCCACGTGTGGGGTCATGGCGTGGCGTGTTAGAGGGGAACTGGTTGGTACTGTGTGGTATCAGGTTCTCCCTTTCTCGCAGTTTCCTTCCCATCCCCGCTCAGAGCCCCCTTTCACTAAGTGTTCTGCCCTAGCCTGACTCAGGGAGGACCTTTGTCAAGTGGAATTGCTGATATGTATTTACCCAACGATCTGAAAAAAGGTTTTCTTCTCTCCCTGCAAGGCACATCCTACTACTTTGAACTTCTGAATACGCCTTGTCATCTTTTAAAATAAGTATAAAACGGTCTTCGGAAAGACGGGAGGTGGCAGGGGTGCTTCCTTGTGAAATGCCCTTATCTTGACTACCTGAATGTCAAGCGACTTTTATATATTCACATGTTCAAAAGTCACAGCTCTCCTGTTTGTTCATTATTGAATGTGCTGTAAATGAAGCCGTTTGCAATTAAAGTGAGATTTGCCCACATCCAAGAAAACCACCTTTTGACTCTGGTGATTGTGCCTGGGAACCCTTCTTGCCCAAGTGGGGCTGCGTTAGACACACATGGTTTGGCCTGAGGAGGAGGTTTTATGGCTTGTCTCACACGTATGTGTTTTTTTAAATATTTCATCGCTGGTATAATCAGAGCATCTTAGGCCAAGAGAAATGGAGAGGAGCAGACACGAGCTTCCAGCATTCCTGACCCCGCCTCTCCCAAAGCTCTGCCAGCTCAGCTGCTTCGAATAGGATTGCTTTCTGCCCACAGTGCAGTTTTAATAAGCTGTTCAGATTTTACTGTGTTCCAAGGGAGATTAAAATAAGAGTGGTTTTGGCTTGTTCCTGAACAGGTATTTCAGATAATTTGAAAATGTAGAATAAAATAAGAGGCAAGGGGGATGACTTTTATCCCTGAGAATCAGCCTCAGTCATTTCTTTTGGTGTATCTCATTAGTATTCTTTGTAAACTCAACCTCGGAAATTCTGTTCCTTGGAGTTTTATACCCAGAAGATGAACACACGAAGGGTTGTTAGATATGGGAAAGGCCTATCAGGTCGTTTCACTGATCCCTGTGGAAGGCACATAGGAAATCACAGTTATTTGCATGTTACTTCCCATGATTTTCCAGTGCTTTGCCTAATAATTTTTTTACAATATGAAAAATGGCACATGGTCAGGTGAAGAGTGCTGGTTTTGAGGCTCTACGTAGGGTCCTCGGAGAGGCTGTTGTTCACGTGACACTCAGTAGCACCGCAGACACCAGGATGTCACGATGCTGCTGGGCTTTCCTGACATACCAACCCAGGCGGAGCTCCAAAGCTGCCCCCGTACTTACCTCTACACAGTAAACAATTGTCTTCCTGTCTCCACTATGGAGAGGTTGTGATGCTTGGATTAAAATGACCCGCCAGAGCACACTCAGCAATTCGCTATGTCCTTGTCTTCGCTAATCCAGATGTGTACCTCCCTTTTAAATGTGTTTTAAACCCCACTTTAATATCCTGCTCCTTCTATTTTGTTGTCTGCAGAGAAACAAAACAGTCATTACCTCAATTTCTCTCGTGCCTGTATACTTTCTGGTCACTTGACTGAGGGTTCCTCGGGGTTTTCATCTTGACCCCCCAAAACCCTATTTTAAGGTCATGGACATTCAGTCCAGCACCACCAGGTGTGCAAGTGGGCCCACTGATAAGCAGCCCCGTGGGAGGGTTTGAAGTCTGTTTGCTGGACAGAGAGAAGAGGAAAACACATCTTTTGGCTTAATGGGGTCTGCCCACCCTAGAAACCAAGCTTCCGTTGCACAAGCCAGTCAGGTTTCCAGAATGGCACAACACATGGAAGTTTTCAGGCCAACAGACTAGTCACTCCCCTTCCTGCACCTTCCTACATAAACACATGTGCCGCATCTCCCCTGAGTCTGCCCTTGTCCCTGCCCCACCCCATCCTATTGTCCCGCAGAATGCCTGACACTTTCCCCCTCCCTTTCTCCCCCCCTTTTTTTTTTAAACTCTCTTCTGGCCCCAAACAAACATTTGTTTAGTTTGACTGCTTAACTGAACCACACCTCATTGCATTTTGTCTTTCCACCCTCAGTTCGTTAAGCGACAGTACTTGTCAGTAATGTTCTCGATAGACCACCTTTAGAGACCAACCATTAAAGTTTTCTCCATAGAAGGGATGTATTGTATTTGAAATGGTCACCATTGGAGAAAAAATCCTGCTGTGCAAATGGAGCTTTTGTGATAGAGGAAAACCGAAGAGACTATAAAAACACTATTTCCATTTAAAAAGAAAGATACGTCAGCTTTTGCAGCCAGTCTGGAAACGGACCTAAACGTTACTAAGTAACATTGCTTCTGGTCACGTAGGCAGACGCCTATGTTCTGGAGGGGAGAGGGCAGATGTATAACTCATGCCAAAGGACTGCCTGCTAAATTGAGCCATTTCAATACCAGAAGTGGTGCCTGCTGCTGTGTAAAATGAGTTTTGGCCAGCTCGCATGTATGTCCTAAAAGGGAAGGAAAAAGGAGGCATTGCAAGGATGTCTCCACACCCATGGAGTTCACTTAAAGTGTTTTTGCACGCTAGCCAGGTTTTCTGCCAGATGACTCTGGTGTATGGAAGCCAGCCAGATCTGTGACCTTCTGCCCAGAAGCCCACGCATTCCTACCACTGACTGGTGTGTGGAGGCAGCAGAAGAGAGAAACTGTCACCTGGCCAACCCAGAAGTTACATCAAAGCAAAACTCTCAGCTCTCTACACCCATCAATATGACCCTAGTTGGCAAAACAGCTGCTGCTTCAGAATGAAGGGTTTGGCTCAAAACGGCACGATGGACTAAGGTTTTATTTGTTTTGTCCCATCTAAAACTTTACACATACTCTTTAAAAAGCCATTAGCAGTACAAACAAAAGTTTTTACTTAAGTAAACTTATTAAGATGGGAACCTCTTCATCTCGGCAAATATATATATTCCTTGGTGTGTGTCAGGATGTCCAGGGTATATTGTTGCAATAAAGAGAGTTTGGAGAGGAACCGCGTGTCCCGGGTAGATTGGGCGTAATTAGCCAGCATCAAGGGACTGAGCCAAGTTTCTCAGGAAAGCCTAGGAGGGAATGTGCCATCAGATTTTCTGCTGGTCACAGCTCAGTGCTGTGGCATGTCAGCTCCCCCTATGAAAAGCCATATGCAACAACAGCTCCTGGATTCCTGGGACCCTAAATTTGGGGCATCCAATCTAGACCTTTTGAAGAGCTGATGAGGCTCCCATCTGTGGCATCTCCACCTAAGGAAACCCCAGCTCTGGGGAAACGAAGGAACATTGGGTCTGCTCTCTGTGCGACGCACACAGCACAAAGGACACTGTCTTGGGTGGTGGCCTTTGTGTGATGTCACTTTTCCCTCAGTATTCATTTTAGCTAAACAAATGTATCTTTATTTCACTATTGTAGTTTTGCGAGATCTTCCTTCAGTTCTTTCAAGGTTAGGTCTTTTTTTTTTTTTGCGGTAGGCGGGCCTCTCACTGTTGTGGCCTCTCCCATTGCGGAGCACAGGCTCCGGACGTGCAGGCTCAGCGGCCATGGCTCACGGGCCCAGCCGCTCCGCGGCATGTGGGATCTTCCCGGACCGGGGCACGAACCCGCATCCCCTGCATCGGCAGGCGGACTCTCAACCACTGCGCCACCAGGGAAGCCCCCATATTAACTCTTTATCTTCATTTTACAGATGAAGAAACAGACTTTTAAAGGAAAATAACTGATCCAAGTTTCCAAAGTAAGTGGCAGAGCCAAGATTTAGATGCCAATTGAGTCCATTTAAGCGGGTATTTCATATCTTTGAGACATATAGAATCTCTGAATTCTGTACCTAACCTCTCAGTTCTTACTAACAAGGTTGATTTCTACTAACTGGAGTGAACATATCCCTTGAAGGAAAGCCAGTCATGTAAAGCTGTGTGAACTTTGTAAACTTAGGGTGGATTTTTTTACTTGAGGTTTGTATCACAAGTAAAGCTGTCAATTTTCTGTTTAATTAGGCTGAATCGTGATCTGTGAATATCAGCTTTTAATTCTTATCATTAAGAATTTATTCAGCTGTGGTGACCTAAATGGGAAGGAAATCCAAAAAAGAGGGAATATATGTATACGTATTGCTGGTTCACTTTGCTGTACAGTAGAAACTAACACAATATACTGCAATAAAAATTTTTTTAAAAAAATTTATTCAGGTAGGAAGAAAGATCAACTGAGGTGGACCTTTTAGAGTGGCTAATTGTTTTAAGTGAGCAGTTTTCTTCTGAGGAAATTAGGTACCATTTTAAACTGCACTGATTTATCTTTAAGAAGAATATGTACAGTAAGTTTTCAAGCATCATAAGGGAGTAGAACAGTGATGTA